CTCCCTGGGAAGCCGATTCCTTCCAGTAAACCTGCACCAGCTGCACGATGGTAAGAAACGGCATCTGCCGGGTCATAGTGTAATTTTCACCTCTTGCTGGGCTGTGGAAGCAAGACTCGTTCTGCTGTGTTAGGTGATATCCTGCTGTGTCCCTGGGGCTACTGGGAGGAGGTATAAAAGCCCAATGGCTTGATTAATGTAATTAAGCCAATCAAGGCTGTAGCTTTGTTGCAGCTGCCACCCGAGTGTGCAGCCCTTCGCTGCCATGGAGCACAAGTTGAAAGGCAGTGCAGAATGAATGGGAATTTTACGGTTGTTGGTGCCCAGTAGAGCACCTGCTTGTCAGCGTGGTCAAAGGTGAGCAAGAGTAGAAGGGATTAGAAGTAGGAGGGATTAGATGACAGCCCATTATGGAGACACTTGACACAGCTCATCTCATAACTGTTATTTGTCACAGAAATAGACCTAGTGAAAGAATAATTGGTCTGTATGCTTACCAGGAGGTCCACTGGGACTGTTTCAAACTTGCATCAGGTTGCTGGGGGTGGGGAGGTGCAGTTCACATATACCAGAGGACACACCCTGAAGAATCCTTCTCCAGAAGGAATATGTCTGTCTTACATCTGCTTGAATGCATTTCTCAAACCCATAGGCAATTTACATCCTGGATGAATGGATTATTCTTCTGTGCAAGGAGGGAGGTGGATTAAGATGTTTCTGTATGATGAGGATGTCTGCTTGAAACAGCTAAAAAAGGGTCTAAATCACCAAAGTCTCAGAGCTGATGTGTTTGGGTTTTTTTTTCTAAGGAAGGATTTAAATAGCATCCACCTCCCAAAGTTTCTTGTCTCTGAGCGGGACAACTGACTGGCAAACATCCTCCTTTGTCTCTGAGGGACAGGTTTCTGCTGTGCTAAGTTTGTGAGACAAAAATTGCCTGCTTCTGAAAACTTCCTGTCTTTAATTCTTGCTCTGTGACCCAGTGCTGTGTTTTTTCAGAAGGGGTGGAGAAGAAATGAGTGGAGGACAAACTTTATTCGAAGTGCTGTTGCTAACAGTGTTCAATGCAACTTGTGTTTAGGAGGAAATTGTCCTGTAGAATCCTGGGATTGTACTGCTGCCCAAAGACAGCAAGAGGGCATCTGCTAAGTTGGTAAGAGAATGTTTCAGTATTGCATGCTGCTCGTTTTTAATTGATTAATTATACGTCAGATCGGTAGGCAGCATGACTTACCTGCTGAGTAGAATATCTAATCTTTGAACGCTTACCAGGAAAAATACGAGTCATCAGGAAGAACACTGGTCATCAGCGTGTTGACATCTGGGTGTCTTTGCTGTGTGTAATTTTGTAGACCTTGAGGAGCTTATATAGTCAAGGGCAGGAGATGAACCGAGCCCATGATGTGCTGTTATCCCTGTCTGACAACTCAGCTGTGAGGGAGAAACAACTGTCCACTGAGGCTTATGTGTTTGCCCCTAGCGGGTCTCCTGCCCCTCGCAAAGACTCAGATGACGTGAGTGGCACCAGTAGAGCAAACGCAGCATCTCTCCCCTTTCCTCCTGCCCTTGCGGTGTGCGACTGCAGCACAAGCACTGTCCCATCCACACAGGCAGTTCAGCAGCCAGCTCTGGAGCCTGGATCACCACAGGGAGTGTGAGCCCTGGCTGCTGTTGTCATAGCACAGTTTACACCTGTGAAGAGCTTGTAAGTCACTTATCCAAACAGGCACAGCGGTAGGATGAAGGGCAGATAAGAAAAGCATTTTTATCTCACCTGACATACGGTCACTGAATACACACCCTGTAACAGCACTTTGTCTCCAGGTAGCTGACAGCTGCATTGTGCTAAATAATTTCACGCTTTATTTAACAGGTTTGTGTTTGTTTGCAGAAGAACAATGACATTCACTGACAGGCTGGACAAGCAAACCTCACGACAGTGGACTTCTTAAGAAACCAAGGTTGGTATGCAGAAGGGGAGGGAATGATGGTACAAACCAGTGGTCGGGTTGGTTGCTCTGTCAATACAGCTGTGTTCCAAGTAGCACCAGGCACTGGGAAAAGGAAGTGGGGCTTTTGGCTTCGAAGGAGTAAAGGGGGGGAAAAAGTGAAGAGGCAGCCTGGTGATAAACAGGAAAAGTAGAAGCTGCTCAGTGCTTTGAGAATGGAGAGGGGCAGGAACTGTTGCAGAACACACTTTTTTAGCAAAGCAGTTACAGCGTTGCTTTGTGGTGTCTCCCAGCTCTAGAAGCAACAGAGGAAGGTTCTTCTGGAGTGGGTCTCACAAATGGTCACGGTTACATCACTGCAAACAGTGTAAAAGGGCCACCTGCGTGTAACTGCAGGCTCCTCCTTGCTGCTCAGGGGTTGCTGCAACTGCATCTTGGGTAAGTTCCCATTAAAACCAAGAAGATTTTGGATACTAGTGCCCTTGGCTTTGGAGACAAAAACTTGCTCCCTTCTGAGACCTGTACTCTCAAATAAAGAGCGCAAATCAGAAACTTTTCAGCTCACAGTTGCTTTGCTCTGACACTGTCTTTTTCCACTAGGACCTGATCTACAGCTGGCTGGAGGAAGAAGTAGTTCCCTGCTGTCTTCTGTTCCAGAATAAAATAAGTTATGGAAAATCTTGGGAGCTGAAATTGTTTTTTCTTTGTGTTTTTGTTTTTTGGGGGTTGTTGGAGTTTCTTTTTGTAAAGGTTATCTACTTGAACAGAAATGGTTTTGAGGATTTTGGGTTCACACGCTTTCTGAAATTCAAGCAGCTGTGAGCTTACCCTTCATAGCAAAACCTACTCCTCCCTGATACGTAAAGACTTCCGTGGCTGCAGACGCTGAAAGTTGAAGGAAAGCAACTCTTGGTAACAGCGTGACAAAAGTACTTATGGCTAAGCTGGGACTCATGACAGAAATGGTTCTTGGGGTCTGCTTGGAAACTCAAAGATAAGGGAGGAAAAGGGAAAGGCAGTAGTACAGCCATCAGGTTCATTGTCTGGTAAGCCCTTAAAATGGAGTGTGTTTAACTCCAGGGCTCCAGCCTTGGCTAGAAAAACCTTCCTTTGTTTTTGCAATGGGAAAGCAGGGTGTGGGTAGTTTCTGATGTGCACAGAGGGCTCTGCCCGTCAGCCGGATGGGATTCCTGGCAGGACGCTGCACCGTGACAGCGCTTGTTTTTAAAACCTGTTCCTTTTGCCCTGTGCATCAAGGCACTGCTGCTTGCCACGTTCAAAATCATGGCATGGGCTGTGCTCAGGCTTGGCCAGAGCTGGTTTGAGGAGGTTTTGGTGCTATCTTGGTCAGGTGATCTGAGGATCAGGCTCGTTCTTGTCACAAAAGAGGTTTAGCTGAGCGCTTGTGAATAAAAAACAGGCCTAACAGGCTGCTTGGTACCATTGTAGGGCGGCTCTGATGCGAACAAAGGTTAATTTGAGACCTGGGAACACAAGATGGGCTCCAAGCTAGAGATTACATCAGAAACAGGCTGACGGACTAACCTGTGGTGCCCATCTGGACTGGCCCAAAGCAGCCTGCTGTGAGCTTGAGGGGGTTTTGAGGTTCCCTGGCTCATGGCCAGGCTGGCTCTTGCCATCTCCACAGTAATTCATTCCTCCTCAGACCTGCTCCTGAAGATCCAGCGTGGCATCTGCGTGGGGCACCATTGCTGCCAGCCCAGGTTTCCCCAGTTTAACCACGCTCCCGTCCCCATCTCTGCCTCTGGGGTTGTTCCCCAGTCCAAGACTTGCTCTGCTATGTGCAACAGCTCCTCAGCTGTCTGACCCCTGCTCAGTTCATCAAAACAACAGAAACAGGCATAAAAGAAAACAATCATTCAACATTTATGTAATTACACAAAGTGGGAAAGTGTCTCCGGTTACACCGCGCTCTGCTGGGCCGTATCAACCCTCTGGCCACCACCCGCTGGAGTAGCCTCCCCAGTGGGTCTGCCTTAGCAGCACGGGCTTATCTGGGATGGTTGAAACGTTTACAACCTTCACCTCCCTGGGTTTTTTTTGGGGGGGAGGAAAAAAAATAGCGACAATCACTTAGACTTAGACAACGAGCCAGCAGGTTCCCTAACCCAGCTGGCATGGGGCTGCCTTCTCCAAGCACTTAGAGGGTACCACATGGTCCCCATGCAAGAAAAACCCAACAAACCCACTGCCACATGTGCGTGGGCTGTAGGCCAGCTTTCATCTCCAGGATCCTCAAAGGCCAGCTGTGTTTCTGATGTCCCAGCTGGGCTGCAGTAACCCTACTCTTAGCTGATGGCTTTTAAGGATCTTCCTTGTTTGAAAACATCATGACCCAGAGAAGGGGAAAATGACAGGGCACACTCTGTCTGTCATGGGAGAGGACAGCTAAGCCACTGTCTGTCCTGCTGATCATGGAGGTACACAGATCCTTCTGGAAAGTGGCACACGTCAACCCCGAGTTGGCTAGAGTTCAGGCTCTCTGCAGTCTGGGAGAGAGGTGTTCTCCAAACACACCACCTTCCCGTTAGTTGGATCATCCAGTCTCCGGTCCAAGAATTCATCGTGCCTGTTGTGATCCCACCATGGTGATGATCTGGAGTATGATGGCAAGGTGAAGGATGTTTTCCAGCCAGAGGCTGCCACCTGTACACATCTCCAGCATCCTCCTCCAGCATCACCCTGCCCCGTCTGTGCTTCGCAGGGGCCACTGCTGCCCCACAGCCATGTTCATGGGGCTGGGAGATCACAGCCACATACCGTGGTGCTTCTTGGTGCCCCAAAGGCCACGTACATTCAATCACACTGAGCCATGAAACACTGCCGGAGGTCCCCAAGAAAACTCAACATTTCTCTACCGGCTTCAGCTTGCCCCTTACCATCACACCACCACTGGCTGCAGTGCGGTGGGCCTGCTCCTTGGGCTGGCTGGCCAACTGAGGAGAGCCCTCAGGAGGGAGGAGGTGGCCTTCGGGAAAGAGAAGAGCCACAGGAGTCCTTGGACTTGCCCCTGTGGGTGACCGCCCGGGCTCACCGCTGGTAGAGGGTCATAATCCCCGCTCGGTGCAGGCTCCTCCACAGTGCTGCCTCCAGCATCATGTCGTGGTTGGCATAGAACACCAGCGGTTTCTTCTCCAGCTCGTAGTAGTGGTCTGAGAACTGCTCATAGTTGGCGGTGATGAACCCATAGGCACTGACCTGCAGGGAGGGAGGTGGGACAGACAGAGGATGGGGTCAAGGCTTCACCTTGGGTGGTCCATGTACCATCACCCTCCCCTCCAGGCACAGGGGGTGGCACATGTAGGACAGCCACGAGGACACACTGGTCCCCAGCCCTTATGGTAGTCCTTCACAAGCCCCCAGCAGCCAGAGAGGGACCGACCCCCTTCTCCCCAGGGGGAAGGTGGCCCCGTGGCCTCTTACCTGGTCGCAGGTGTGGAGCGCAGTGAGGAGCATGAGGGCGCCGGTGCTGGGCATGTAGAGCGAGCCATACTGCGAGTTCAGGAGCTCCGACCGCAGGAACCTGCAGGTGAGCACAGCAGGTCGGGGGGGCTCACGCTGGCACAGCTCCACAGCCCCCAGCACCACCCAGCACCATCCAGCCCCCACCACGCACTCAGTGGCACCAGTGCCCAGTAAGGCTGGAGCACCAAGTGAAACACAGAGCTCGTGGATTCTCTGATGGCTACTACTGAGGTTCAGCTCCTTTGCTGCAGGTTGCTGAAAGGCACCTCCCAGCTGTTTGAAATGCCTCAGCCCAGGCGCCTGCTTTCCCTAAAGGTAGGAGATGACAATCCCTTTGGGCCCTACCTCTGCTCCTCTTAGACTAGGTCAAAATTTAATTTATTTTGGGAAGTGGGAGATAAGTACGGTGAGGCTAGGGGAGTCTCCCTGCCAGGAGGGGATGTGAGCTGTGCTGCAGAGAATGGGAACGGCAGGGGACAAACCTCTGTGCTTTATCTGCAGAGAGCAGGACAGAGGTGGTTCCAGTGCCTGGGCAGGACTGGGACTGTGCTTTGATGCTGGGCAGTCACCGGTCTGCACTGGAAAGGGCAGTGGTGGGAGGCAGGTGGTCTGAGCCCAACTCGCAGCAAAGCCGGGCAGCAGCCACGGTTCTTGTCATCCTCACCTCGTCGTCAGGTACTGCAAGAAGTCAGGATGCAGCAGTTTGAACTTCTCTGCAGACAACTCTGGTCCAAAATACTTCCGTGGCCTGCGGCGGGGCAAGGAAAAGGGCAGAAGTCACATCATGGGAGTCCTGGAGCTACTTGGGGTTTGTCCCACCAGGGACAGATGTGGGGTGAGGGCAGGCAAGTCACGCTCCCTGAGGTGTATCACCAAAGGTGCTGGTGGGGTTTCTGGGGAGCTACTCACTCATCACCCTTGTCCGAGCCCTCGGGGACAGGGCTGCCCTGGATGGCCGACTTCAGCATGACGTAGTCACGGACATCCGAGGGGACAAAGATGTACCTCAGGTCCTGCAGCAGGGACATAGATATGGCACTTGGGGGGGGTTTGGGGGCACTGCCCACACCAGCGGGGCGAGGACTGAGGGCTCCTGAGATGGGGAGAAGGTTTAGGGGGCAAGCCCAGCCTCAGGGACAATTTGGTGTCACCTCCCCAACAAGCCCTGGGGGTCTCACCTTGGCCTGGGGTATCTGGGTGAAGCCATACTCCTCGTAGGCAATGAGGGAGTTCTTCATAGTGTTCACCGTGAAGCCATAGAAGGAGATTTTGGTCCCAACATCATCCTCGAAGCCTTTGATCACGGCACCATTGAGCCTGTGGGAAAAACGCGTGATGCGTGTCCAGGGCTGGCCTGTCCCCAGCACCCACAGCCCCATTCTGCCCAGGACCCGTCCGCACCTGAAGACCAGGTCGTGCGCATCGATGGCCTTGCCCTGCCGTGAGCCGTTGAGGATGCCGCCGTTGCCCACCACGGCGCAGCGGACGCAGCCCCCGGGGAGGCTGTCCCTGTTGAAGAGGCGCCGGTTGGCGGAGGCGTTGAGGAGCCGGACGGTGCTGCCCACCGCTGGAACAGAGCAGGATGGGGCCGGTCAGCAGGGAGAAGGTGCGCATCAGCTCACGTGAGCATGCGTGTGGTTAGGTGTGCGACAGCACACACGGACAGCCTCGTGCAAGAGCACATCCAGGAGCAGCACACAAGAACGCTCCGGCCATCCTCATGCAGGAGAGGGGTTTACAGGTGGGAAGGGGAGACACCAGCCAGTCCCTCCCCTCCCCG